CTGTAGAAAGAAATCATGGAAGCGATTTGGGTAAGAGCGTTTCTTCATAAAATCTGCAAATTTAAACTTACGTATTCCATAAAAGATCAGTCCTCTCTGTGATGAAGAGCTTAAATAAAGTTCTGTTTTCTCTTCAACAAAACATTGAAAAGGACAATACAGGCTCCTGAATCTAACAAGCGCGTCCTAAATGTAGTTTTCGCCGAATAAAGATAAGATTTTGACTTGCTGATCAACTTCAGTCTCATGAATTCGCATCTCCCTGGTGGAGAAAGACGAATGAAGAAAGGGTACACATTTTCAAAACTTTCTGTTTCTAAGTAGGACTCGTATTGAAAGGCTAAGTGGTAGTCACTTAGTCCTGTTCTGAATATTTCACCCTTGCTCCATTTCTTAGTTAAGAATGGCTCCCTTGATGCCTTTGTCGCCTTGCGCTACTTTGAACACCGAAATCAAAACGGTTTGTTACACTGGTTTTGCAGAAACAGTGACCATTTAACTAGAACACGCGGAGCATTTCCGTGAAACGTGGGTTACCACTGGACTCGATGATACTGACAAATTTTAGCAAACCAGAGTCGTTTATCCTCAGTTTTCCCTAAAATAGTTTCCCCCTGGTCCTGATGACGATATAAAGACGACGTCCGAATTTAAAAATAGCATAATAAAAACAGACTTATTCTTGTGTTTACACATCGTTTTCCGTGGCTTTGGCTAATGACGTCACACAGGGGCCTGGGCAGCAGCGGTTTTGCGGCGGTTGAATTTCTTACCTGTCCTTAAATTAATTAATCTTATCGCTTACAGACGGAATTTTATTGGCACAGATTCTCGTCCGGTTTTAAGTCTTTGTTTCTTTAAGCTGCGGTTTGTTTACTGATCTTAGCCAGGTAAACTAAATTGATTGTCCTCACTGATTGTGCAAATCATGTACCATGACGGTCTGTCTTGTCAAATTGATAAACAAGTAGCGAATTATCTACTGCTGTCGATAACCATGAGTTCGCTTTGTTTTCCTAAACTTAAGAAATTGAAAAAAGATAAGGAAACATCACTCAAACCTTAACCTTTGCCATGGAAAACGGAAGATTTTGAAGATATTTTTTGACACTTCATAAGGCAAAATTTTTTATTCTCTCGCCCTCGTGCTAGTCGACAAATAAAACCTAGAAGTACCAGTTATAGGTTTTGTTTATCCTTACTCCTTGTAATGTTGGTTGTATTCATGAATTGTAGACACCTTTAAGCCAGTTTTTGTTTCAAGAACTGAAAGGCTCCAGCCTTTACAGAAGAAGATTGTCAAATGGTAAAAAAAAATTTTTTGAAAAATACTTTTGTCAGCGGACAAACATTCTGGTGATTTGCAAGAGAGCTTATTGTCGAAATATGAAGGTCATCGGCTCCAAGTGTTCGCGTGACGTTCTGCACTGTTTTAACCACGTGGAGAAGACCGACATGAATCCGGGGATCGCATGATAGAGAAGGAGCTAGCCACAAGAGGAACCCAGAAATATCGTTTGACAAACGTAGCTGGTGTTAATCAATGTTTCACGTGTGATTGGTCGAGATACAAACAGCCAAATTGAGGCTACTCTCTGCGCGGGCTATCGGCTGTGCTATGTTTGTCGAATTTATTCAAGCCCTTTGTCTGTCACAACATTTGGGACAAACGAGTTAAAAAAAAACTGATACAAAAATTCTTGAACAAACTTCTTTGGTCCACGCTTCCCCAGTAATGGTTGGTGGCACGGATAATTGAGCTAAGTAAGAACAAAGGCTGGATATTGCGAAACCCGATTCTTAAAAGAAACTCTTGTTGCAGCAAAAATAAATCGCACGAAGTTTTCATCACAGTGTTTAAAAGTATGTTTTTCATCCGAAGGAGGGTGAATAGAGCAGTTTTTTGCGCTTAGACAGGCTAAGCTCAATGTTTACCTTTACTACTGTGCGTGAAAAGTTTTTGGTGCTGTTGGTAAAAAGGCAGCTTCTCGTTGCTAGGCATACATTATGTACCTTTGAAATGTTGTGAAAAAGGAATTCATATAAACAACGACCCAGTTAAACTGTCAAGTGAGTTTACACAATGCGGCTTATTGTTTTCTTTTAGAACACAAAAGAACGACGAAATGATAAGACACGTTTTTGAGCTTGACTAAACTAACCCTAGTTTATTTGTAGAAAAGCGAAACGAGATAAAGGTTTACCAGCCGAAGTCAACGAAGGAAAATACTTCAAAATGGAAATTTTATCGTCAAATGCATTTCTTAAAGATTTATAATGAAGTATTTCGAGTTAATTTCACCAAAAATACAGTTTATCCTTCAGTCCTAAAGTTAGCTTATTCCACGTGGCCTTTCAAGGCTGCTTTTATAAAGACTGACACCTAATTTTACAACTTTTGTTCCGTTTTGCAAGTTTGCCTTACGTCAGACACAGTGAGGCTTTCGAGTCACAAGATTTTCCAGAAGTTGCCCAATTTAACTGCAATAGTTTTATGCCATTGTGTTGATTGGAATAAACAGGAAAAATTAGCAACCGTCTTTCTTTTCGTAAAGGTTATTTCATGGCGATGTAATTGTGCTTCTTGGGAAGCCTTTAAGCTGCGGGATTTAGAAAAGTTGATACAAAATTTTACATGGCGAACGAAACACAAATAACGTTTCCGCGCTTTTCTCCGAAACAGCATTGTTGAAAATATTCTTAAGTATAATTTCAGTCCTGCTCCGCTGTGGATAATTGATTTTATTTGCATAACAACTCGTCGGAAATTAAAGAGATCGTTGCTTTGAGCAATTACCGCGAAACACTCACTAAATTGTAGAGACGAGCTTAAGCGGAAATTTTGACCACGGGAGCGAACCGCGTGCAGCACAAAACAAACTTGTGCCATATAATTATCTTTTAATCTGGAAAAACAAATCAGTAAAAAGACGAACGACTGTCTATCTTTGGGGGAGGCTAACTTAGTTTGTAAATGCTATCAAAATTCACAAATCTTTCTCAGATGTGTAATTCTTCTGCTAGGCTACTCATGAAAGTGCAGTTGAAGCAGGAATCCAGGTTAATCCAACATAAAGAAAGATTTATTGCTCCGGCTTTTTTTAAGCCATCAAGAATTAGCATTAAACAAGGAAAATTATTCCGGTCAAAATTGTCAATGTACCTTGGCAAGAAAGAGCAAAAAACCACAAGCAAGACTCATTCTTTGACATGATGTGTCTTTTGTTCCGTGTTCCGAGCGATGTTATCAAAGCAAAAGAACGCACTTTGTTCACGCTTAATTATTGCGAACAAAGGCGACTTACACGCAGGTAGACAATTGTGACCTGGGTGTTCGAAGACCTTCTTTGCTATGTTATGGAAAACGAGAGGAATTACCACCTCCCCACAAATAAATTCAGCATGAGAAAAATCGTACATTGAAATCGGAGATTTCAGGACACTGCATCAAAGTTGAAAAACTTAAGTTCGATTTGTTAGAACAGCTGTACCTTGCCACAAAGAGAGCTTCTTGTCATGCGCAGTAAAGTCGATTTAACCATTTCGGTAAGTTACAGAATTGTACTAGTCTTTTTTTTAAACAAAGAGAAACGTTTGTATCGAAAAACGTTTTCTTTCATCTTGGCGCGCGACCCGTAAACCAGTAGAAAGGCGACAACTCGTTAAGCTTTTTATTAATAAAACTCCGAGACGTTTTGTGTATCGTAGGACATTTATTCGTTTTTGTCATGGTGCGTAATTGCTTGACGGCATCAGCTGTAAAATACGCAAAAAGGTCGGATTTTTTTTTTCATCAACATCTCTTCATACAATTGTTGTTACTCTTTCTTGCGCGCAAGCTTTCGAATGTTATAAAAGTTTATTATTTGAATAATAAACCATTAAAAGCTGCTGATCGCGAATAGATTAAAGCCAATAAATCTGAACAAGGCGTCAAGGCGAAAAGTGTATTTTAATGGCGCTGTTGTGAAGATAACCTTCATACACAACGTCTCGAAGCATATTAAAATGAACTGAAGAATGCATTTCGGAGAAACTTTTGTCCGCTAAATACACTTTTCCACTAAATTATGCAAATTCGCAATGCTATACAGGGTTATTTACAGTCATTTAAAATTTTCCTGTTCATGTATTAACTCTGTGTTTCTATGTTTTCCTCGTTTTCTCAAAGCAGACACTTAAAAGTAAAAATGTACTCTAACTCTGCTGGATTAACAAAATGGAAGCAAAATCACAAGCGAGAAAAACCATCTCTCTCTTGCCTGAGTTAATGGAGTAATTCTTCTGTTTAATTTAAAATCATATGCGCTAATTTCAATTTCTGTGACACACACAGAATTCAGAGAGACACGATCGTACATCGAAATTGCCTTGTGTAAAGATTCACAACGGAACACGACATCGCACGAAAAGACACTGATTAAGTGTTCTTTTTACCTCTCTTCATCTATAGATTTCTGTCTTTTCTCCTCTGTATCTGCAGCATTCTTATCCTGTTTCTCATCTTTGCCGACATCCAGTAAGCTTTCCAAGTGTTTAATGTACCTAATAGCAGCCCGTAGCGTCTCTACTTTTGACATCCGTTTATCTGTGGGTTCGTCGGGAAGATGCTCACGAAGACGCGCGTACCCCTCGTTGACGTGTCGTACGCGAATGCGTTCTCTTTCGTTCCTCTTGCGAATGAAGGCGGGCTCGAGGTTGTAGTCGTATAACGGGTGAGGTATCGGCATTGTCATTGGTGGACCGTAATATGGTGGCAGTTGACCGAGTGGTGCATTTTCACTCGGAATTCCCAGCTGATAGCAGGTTGGCATTGAAAAGGCAAAATCTGGATACTCCATCCTGACTGGATTGAGGAAATCGCAAATCTCTTTTTGAATTAAACACGAAGGATTGCTATCGAAGAGGGCGGATAGAAAACTCTGTGTTGAAGAACGATCCGCGGAACACAGACCGGAGGTAAAATCCTTCTTGTTAACGAAATGTATCAATGTTGTATTCTCGAGAGCAAAAGTTAAACTAAAATGAGGTTTTGAGCGCAGTTTAATAAGACTCCACCTGCTGAGCCAGCCAATCAGATGCAGCGTTTGTTTTGACAAACAATTAATTGGATTATCACAACTTTCGATCTGGGAAAATAAAGGCAGAAAAAAAAACCGCGTGCGCTACCGTGCTAGAATTACACACCTTAAATAGAGTGACAGGAGTGGAGAACATGCAAAGTTAACGTGAGAGATTAAAACATGGGAATGTATGGCCGCACAGTGTTATGCTAATTTTTTGTACACTTCAACACCTTGAGGCAAGTCTCCAGTAATTCAGACGTACAGACACGTCAGTTTTCTATAGAAACCGTAACTCTTAAGAAGGGCTTACTTGAGCTTCGGTATGCTATAAGGAGTCCAGATTTGACAAAACGTGAAGCTATGCCTCAAGCTAAACCCACAGTGCACTGTAACTGTTTTCCTTTACAATGTTGGTTGAATATTAGAAACTCGTGCCCCCCTCATACAGACAGGGTAGGGGTCTTTAAAAGAAACTCCACAACACGCGGATTTTATTCAGGCAGTTATTCACTTACAGACCCCTGAGGTGAATTTCTCAAAGGCAGACTCTAAATTGCAGTGAACGAAACTCTCTGACACACACAGTTGAACTGGCTTGGATACCCATACAGAGCAAACAGTCACTCCACAGAGGATACCCTCAGAGTAGGCATTTTCAATCACCCTTGAAAACAAACTTTCCAAGTAATAAAAGGTCGAGTTTTGAACTCGACCAAGCAATAAGGGTTCCATGTTTTTTGTGCTTTAATGAGACGCACAGAACAATGAAATTTAGTCGTGGTGTAGCGTCCTACAACTTGTAATGCAAGCAATTTGAAAGTTTAGTAAATACACCTTTGAAATGGTCAACTCTATTAAACAATACGGCGTGCTTTCGCGTGTTGAACCTGAAAACATGATTCTTAGCTTGAAGTAATCAAGAGATGTCTCTCTGGCTCCAAAATGACGTCATTGTAACAGTCTGCCTATAGAGGGCTTGTTTAACACATGCTTAGGACATTTGGTGAGAGCACATTGGGCCCATCGTTTGACCCATGCGGCAGGGCTGTTGCTGAGGCACACACGTCCCAAAACAATTTTTAATCGTCTTATTTTAAACACATAGCATTGAGGTTGGCTGGAATTAATTGTTAGCACCTGCGTATTGTATTCAACTTTTGTTCCACAAGGAAATTCAGCTCTCTCTCTCGCGGCGATGAATACAACTCGAGACAATGAACCTTATCTCGCAAACAACCACAGAAAATCCTCAAAATACACGCCATATTGTTGCAGCTTAGCTGGTTAGATACACTCTACGAGCGCGCTCTTTGAAAGCAACAGAAACGGAGAGGAGAACACTTCATTCTTGGAACGTAAAAGGGGTACATCACACCCCTTTCTGTCCCCCTCTGGGAGCTGAAGAGAAAAACGACTGATCACGTCTAACAAAAAAATCAATTTTCATAAATATACAAAGATTGTACTCGATTGCCCGAAGACAATACTTATCACAAAAGAAATTGACTCTAATTTCCATTCGACACCTTTTGCAATGTTGTTTTTGGTTTAAGCACTTCACGCTACAAGAGGAAACTAGACAATGTGCCAAGAGCTCAATGCTAGCTTCTCTTCCCGCCGTTATTTGGATAAGATTGAAACATGATTGAAACCTAACTTGACACTAATTCGACGTCATTTGTTGAAGCACATGGGAGAGTCTATCGCTTAAGCAACCTGCAGGCAACAAAAGTGACACACTAGCTAACCTAATCACGACCCTAATCTCCAATTGATAATCGTTGCGCTTTGTAACATTTTGAACTCGCTATTATTCTTCAGACAAAATCAGAGCAGCGTCTATTTGACTCATAATTGCCTAACACGAGGAAAAGCCACTTGAATTGGGAATGAACCTGGTTATTATTATCTTTGTGAAGGTGTTTTTGTCTCTGCCAAGAGCTCGTTTACGGAGTCAGTTTTACTGTGCTTAGTGGACATTTTTTTACAAACGTAAAAGCTGTGCTCGAAGACCAAAACCTTAACATTGAGGCGTTAAACTGAGCTGTAAGTGCAGCAAAGAAATTCTTGTTGTGAAAAGCGAGCTCTATGAACGCCAAATTATTTCCTCTTCGGAAGAGCTCTTCTTCTCCGGTTCATTTAAAGAGATGGTCTCTTCACAAAGCATTCTTTTGTTCTATATTTGCATACTAATGAGGCATTTGTGAGAAAGCGAGATTTTCGACGGTTTACTGTGATTCTCACAATCTCCCCAAAAAATCCTTTCTCACTGCTGCTCAAAAAATCTTCATTTACATCTTTTAAACAAGTTCAACGGAGATCTTCTGCGTTCTTCAACAAAAACCCAACAGACGTAATGCGTTTCATATAACGCAAAATTTGGTAAATATTCTAGAATATTCATGAGCCTCGGAAGAAAATCAGAAAGTTAAGATAGTGGAGCAGTCAGAACTCGGTCGAAATTAGTTACGTTTTGATCGTGTGTAAACAATGATGCGATGAATCAATTTTTAATGATCACGAATTATAATTGCACGCAAGTGCGATCACTTCAAATTTTTTTTTAGGAATCTTAATGACAATGAAAATTAAAAATAATGAAGCAAGGAAGCAGCTGATTTTCTTCTCTGGACGTAAGTAGACGACATAATTCTGCTTTTCCAGTGCCTAGGGCAAGGTTAATAAGAGTAAAAACAACTTCAAGTTATTGTGTTCCGCAGATATTTTATTCGCGGTAGCCGAGAACTTTCAAATGTAACAACTAGACCTCTTAACTGTTTCGATCGTTTAACTGAGAGCAATCTACTATAAAAGAAAATTTGTCAATTGGTTAGACAGCTTCTCTAAGCACAAAAGTATCATGTCGCTTTAAGTCGTGGTTGCGTTATTATCACGTCTTCCGCTTTCTCGCTGGTGTGTGGGTGTAGTTCAAACTAACTCGTTTTTTTTTTCTGTTTTATTTTGGTTTTTTTTTCCAGCTGAACAGTAATGGACGGATTTACAGGTCTAATCAGATAATTTTTCAGTTCGTCACCTGCAGCCTGGATTAAATCACAGTTTTCTTCGGTAGCAATTTTTTTTTTTAGCGGTAGAGAACGAGGATATCCCGAGGGTCCTTTATCGTTACACGGGCACTCCAATAAATCAATCTTCCCTTCATTGAGTGAATTTATTGGGCTTATGAACAACTGATGTTACACTCCAGTGCTTTTTAAGAGGTTCAAAGTGCAAATTCAAAGTCTCATTCACAGATCCAGCCATAAACAAGATATATATCCTTTAGAAATTCTGCTGCGCGGTTTAGCGCAACCATGGTCCGTGAGAGCCATGCCATATGATAAACGATGAAAAACATTCATATCAATGCGCCAAATGCAAATAGAATTAGACAAAATATAATCATATATGGCCCTAAAAACAATACTAAATAAAACACTAGACACCGCTGTAACCTCTATTTAACAGAAACTACCTTCACAGACGGTTTAAGTTATTCTAAACGGAAAAGGAAAACGTAGGTTTTCTTTTTCCTCGTACATCTGCCTGTTAACTAGGGCGACTGATTAAAACTGTATAGGTTTTTAACTGTAAAGGAAAAGCAGAAGACCTATGAAAAGAACAGCTTTATGAACTCGGTTCGCACCTAACGGAAAACTCTTTCTTCAGATTCATCCGGCCTATTGTTCTCGGTGGAGTACTCTTCAGGGATCATTTAACTTGAAGCGCTTTGCAGGTGGACGATTTCACAACAACTTACCGTAGCTTCGGAGCATTTTTTTAACCCACAAAGGACATCAATACTCAGAGAGAAAATCATTTTCAAACTAATAACTGTTGACGTTTTTTTTCTGTGCGCGAGACGAGCTTATGCTCGCAAATAAGTCACCCACAGCTGAAAAAATTATTGCGACAAAGGATAAAAGGCATTTAACACTTTTAAAAGTCCCACTTAAGTCATCGGTGACGCTAACACTGCGGGCTTCGACCCACATTTGAATATTTTCACAATTGAAATTCCCAAAATTATAATTCACTGAGGTTTTCAACATGCAACACACAGGTGAAGGGACTCGTGGGCGAACAGAGCACGCTTTCGTCACTGAAGTGTGAGAAGCTTGGCGATCAAAACACATTGTTTCGAAGGATAATTCAAAGAGTATAAAATGACCCACAGAATAATCTTTATGTAAACACGTTTTGAAGGGGTGTGAAGCGACAGACTATAGTCCGTGTAGTAATCGCAGCTTAACAACGAAGCTAAGCCTTTGTGATACAGAGGTCGTGTGGTTCAAGTCTCGCGTGATGAAGAAAAGGAAGAACTGTTGTGAATCTGAAAAAAATAGTGATTGCTAAGTGTTACAAATCTAAAGCATTCTATCGACACAAAAGGCCCAGTTCTTCGGGCTGTGTTTCAAACGACTATTGGTTATAAAAGAACCGCAAACAATCATCACACTCGAATCGACATTATGTGCTCCGAACTCGGAAGGGTCTTGCTTAACAAAAATAGTTTCATTGATTCCGGATTACGAGCTTTAGTTTGTTTTATGAGTCTCGGCGTTAACCTATTGTCTTTTCGGCAGAGAAATATCGTGGACACGCGCGTTTCGAACTTTTAGGAAGTTCGAAACGCGTAATTAAGCAAGCGAGCAAACAAAAACGGCAAACTTTGATGATCATCAAAAAAGTTTGTTGACAAATCTAAATTTACCTGCTCGATATTGTTCATCTCATACGTATCAACGTTCAGATGGAAAACGTTGGGTGAGTAGTTATTGAAATCATGTCCCTTTTATAAAAACGGAATGCTTTATGCTCGACTTTCCAGCGTCAAAGCGCATGTTTCGTCTTTATAAATCAGTATGATCGGCTAATTTGTCAGAGCTATTTTTTTCACGAAAAGAGAATCGAAAGCTTTGTTTAAGCTTCTTGAA